GGTGCGCCTGTGATACAGCTGTTCTGTGTTCTGATTAAAAGTTAAGACACAGAGCGTCTTTTGTCTGTCGTTCTTCAAACATTACAGTAGACATATTTTGGTTTACAAACTGTATTGTTTCATCAGTTAGTCACGTTAGCACTCGGCTAACGTATCCACCATTATTGTTTTAAGTGTTCACAGTTTAGCAGCTAAACTTTACTTGTGGGCACGATTCGCATACATAAGTGTTTTTGTATTTTATGTGTCTTTATTATAAGAGCGGATTGGAGCACTATATTATTGTTCTATGTAAAGGTGCTTTGTCAGTAGCGCTCGCTAACTTGCTCAATGACTCCTCTCTGTGCCAATCACAACAGGCTTGGCTACGGGCTTACATTTCTGCCACAATTCTGCGCGCGAAAGATCATATTTTGAGCCCACAAAAGTGCATTTTGCACGCACGCGATCTGAGTTTTGTGGAGAAAATGTTCGTCTCGTAAAGAAAAAAGTCTTTTGAGCGCACGGAAATCAATTTTGCATTTAAAATACGTTTTTGGATGTGTGCAGACCTTCTCTTTTGCGCATGCAACGTTTCACTAGCTTGCTCACCCGATACCCCCTCAGTGCTCGCTAAATGCCAACAGCTCGCGTGCGCAACACAACCCAGTGTTACAATGTGCCATAATTCCAGCCAATCAGAGAACGAGGCTGCTAAATTCTGATTGGCTGCCTTGACAACCAATCATAACATTTCTTGCATTACCTCGACAGCAGAAGAGGAAAAATACAGTGCATGCATAATTATTATGCAAGTTGATATTCTGATCATATTTTTTTCCAAGCACATTTTACCAATTCCAAACGACATCAATCTTAATAACTACTATTAATCTTGTATTTAATAATTTATAATTGATATATAATTATTCATGAAGGCTGAAGTGAAAAATGTCTTATATTCAGGTGTGCATAATTAAGCAGATTTTCTTTTACAGACAAAATGAGCCAAAAAAGTGATTTAACTCAGACTGAAAGTAAAAAATTATTAAATACCCATGAGAAATATTCAAAACTAATACAATATTAGAAATGTATGAATGCATAACCATTGGACATGCTCATTGGGTCAGCAGGGTCAGTCAAAAACATGTGGAGAAGAAAAGATGCATGTTAACTGCAAAATAATTAGAAATTAAGGTGAAGAATTAGGTGTGAAATCACCAGGAACCATTTAGTCTCCAGCGCCACCATTTTCCAGAACTGCAACCTACCTGGAGTCTCCAGAAGTACAAGGTGTCAGGTTCTCAGAGACTTAGGTTAAGTATAGAATCCTAAAAAATGACCCATACTTAATAAGAATCACATACTGAAGTGTAGTAAAATGCTTGAAAACTGAGGAAAACAAGAGGATGTGGTGCTGGTCCTTCTCAACTTATGTCTATAAACCGTATATATATATATATATATATATACGGTTTATAGACATAAGTTGAGAAGGACCAGCACCACATCCTCTTGTACCACTGTTTGAAGAATGTATCTTCCGGAATCTGGCAGTAAGTTTTGGGAGTAAATTTTTAGTCCATCTCGAGATTTTATCTGTAGATGATAATCTTCTTAATAATTATGCACACCTGAATATAAGGCGTTTTTCACTTCCAGCCGTCATGAACAATAATATATAGATTATAAGTGATTAAAATACAAGATTAATAGTAGTTATTAAGATTGATG